GGTCCACAAACCATGCTGGAAAGAGGGAGCAGATACCTGGAGAGCAAAGCAATGCCAGGTGATGATGCCATTTGGGATGCATGCAGCAAGAAGGGGTTGTGAGGGCAGATCACAGAATCATGGAATGGTTTGGGTTGGAAGGGACCCTCAAAGCTCATCCAGTCCATCCATAGGCAGGGACACCTTCCACTAGCCCAGGTTGCTCCAAGCCCCGTCCAACCTGGCCTTGGACATTTCCAGGGATGGGGCAGCCACAGCTTCTCTGGGCAACCTGTGCCAGAGCCTCCCCACCCTCCCAGGGAAGGATTTCTTCTTAACAGCTAATCTAAACCAACTCAAACAGGCATCTGGTCCAGTCCAGAGGCTGGATTGGGACTTGCTGTCTTTGGACTTGATCTCACCTGCAAATCCAGCCAGTTGCAGACCCATCCCAGAAAGTGTTCCTGCTTCAAGTCAGAGCATGCTTTGAACATCAGACTCATCGCACTGACACAAAAAGACCACATGGCTCATTTCAGGTGGTTTTGGCAGCACAAGTCCTCACCTTAATTTAGATTAGAGCTTTTCCACAGGTGGGAATGAGCTTTCCAGGTGCAGAGACCTACCTCTGCCAGCCAGGAGGGTGTCTGAGAGAACCCAAAACAGGCCCCTGTTTAGACAACACAAGAGCAAACGCCACGCCTGTTTGGTTAATTAATTACTTCTGAAATTAAAGCCCATCAAACTGCACGGAGGCTTCGTGCAACCTGCAAATTAACTCCAGGGGAATCCAACCCGGGGCTGAGGAAGGCCAGGGAGCATCCAAGCAGTGGCTCCAAGCATTTTCCACAGCACCAACAAGGCCACGAAGGACAAGAACCCAAAACACCACCCCCACCCCCCCGTCTGCCGGTACTTCAGGGTTGTTGTTTCGGCACCTCAGGGGTCTGTCGTTTTGGTCTGGCCAGGTTAAAACCTGCTCCATCCCATCACAGGCTCAGGTGGCTGATAAGAAACCAATTTCATCATTTTAAGCCCCAAATGTTTATTGAAAGGGTTTATCTGCAAACAAAGCCACTGCACTTTGAACTGTAGCTTTACGCCAGCTTAAAAACACAGCGAGGGCCGTGGATTAACGTGGTGTGAAAGGGGAGTCTGAGCCTGCCCCTGCAGCCTCCACACAGGCCATGGCAAAGACAAGCTGCTTCTCGGGGCCAGGACATAACCTTTAGCAAAAAGCTCAGCATTTTGGGGGGGGAAAAAGCCCCTTTTTTAGCAAGATGCTTGGGCACAGAAATAGTAATTCATGTAAATCTGGCAGAATCTCAGCTTTGCTGTAAATTGCTCTCGTTGCTGGATGAAGTGGGGTTGAACCTCAGACACATTTTTTGCAGCCTTAGTCACCAGGGAAAATTAAAACAAGACCTGAAAGTCATCTTAAAGTCATGGTAGATTGTTTCCCTGCTTAAGGCAGAGCTTTACAGGTTGAGGGGAGTCATTTCTAGACCTTTCTGCATTGTAAGCACAAAAATGCCCTTCCACGTGTGCACAAGAGCATCCCCTAAAAACCAGGCAGCCACAGGACACCACAGAGGGAATATTTCCAAAGGGCAAGTTCTTCCCTCTCTGCTGTCCCCAAAAAGTCAGGCAAGGCTGGAAGGAGACAGACCTGCTCTGGTTTCTCTTGCCCAAGACACAACAAGCAGAGGAACCTGAGAGCCTCCTGAGAGCCACGTGCTCCAGTCATTCCTGCTGGGATTTCATGGAATCACAGAATGGCCTGGGTTGGAAGGGACCTTAAAGCCCATCTCATTCCAACCCCCTTCCATGGGCAGGGACACCTTCCACGGGACCAGGTCGCTCAATACCCAAAACATGGACCTACCAGCAGCAGGCTCTTGGCCAGAGGAGACAATTCCAGGTCCAACCAACATTCCAGGGCACCATCCATGGCACCTTCACCCACCTGCCTAGACAACACCTCCTTTCCTCAGCATCTTTAATGGCAACATCAACATGCCAGGTTTTTTTCCCCTGTAGGATCAAGCTCTTCCAGATCTCCGTGCCGGTCACATCCAGAAGTGCAGCAGATGTTGGTGCCAGTGATGGGACAGCTCTGCAAGGAGAAGCAGCTGGAGGAAGATCTGGATCTCCAGGGAATGGGAGATGTTTTACAAGGGCATGGAGTGGTGGGACAAGGGGGAATGGCTTCCCGGTGACAGAGGGCAGGGTTAGATGGGATATTGGGAAGGAATTCTTAGCTGGGAGGGTGGGGAGGCCCCGGAATGGAATTCCCAGAGAAGCTGTGGCTGCCCCATCCCTGGAAGTGTCCAAGGCCAGGTTGGACAGGGCTTGGAGCAACCTGGGATAGAGGAAGGTGTCCCTGCCATGGCACAGGGTGGAATGAGATGGAGTTTAGGGTCCTTTTCAACCCAAAGCATTCCATGATTCTAAGCAGGAGGCAGGAAGAGCTTTGCAGGAGCTGAGGGATGCTCTCCAGCACAACCAGCTGATTCCCACATGGAGCCTGCAGGACTTTGCAGGGTCAGGCTGGAATTAGACACGCTCTTGATGAGGAAAGAAACCCTAAATATCAAACCAATGCAGATGGACCTTTCTTCTTTTTTTTTTTAATTAAAACTTGCTTGAAGTGCCACATAAAAGCAGTGAAGTCCCAGGCACAGCTGACGCACTAGGACGGGTTTATATTTAGGAGAACAACTTAATTACTCCATCAGTAGGAAAGAAATGGCAACTTTTTTTGGCAGAGCCCAGAAGGAGAAAAGAAACCTAAAAGAGGGACAGCCACCACCCCCCGTTATTCCTAAGGGCAACATCCACTGGAATTTGAGCCTCCAAACAATCCACTTTTACAGAGAATTCAGCTTTTTTTTTTCCATGCCTGATCCCAGGAAACAACATTAAAGTCTCTCAGCCAAAACACATGATGTGCATCACAAGACAGCTGGCATCATTATTATTTTTAAATACCACCAGCTTCGTTTTTAACAGGACAACTGGAAATGTGTCATTGCTGAGGCGTAAAACAAATAGAGGGAGGTGATAAAAAAGCCATTCCCAAGTTTTGCAGGCTGGAGATTTAAAGAGAGATAAAGCAGAGCTCCCCCCAGAAAATACAGTCCCTTAAAATCTGCTGTTTCTCCTGCCACATTATTCACTTGGGAGCTTTTAGTTCCGAAGTCGGAGCGGTGCTCAGCCGGATTTCCGATGGCTTGCTGGGCCTCATCCCAAATTTCTCTGGCATTACTCACGTTTTTTTGTGCAGGAAGAGGGATGAGGATTTTCCAGTGAAAGGCAAAAGGGAGGCAGAAGTGTTTGCAGCATATGGAATGTGTCATTTCTCACGGACAGGCTCAGACCGCTGCATCCCAATGATTCCCACATATCCCATCCACTGAAGGAGAAGGAAATCAGGATAATGCTTGGAATTCTGCACTGCTTGGGACCTGAGGATGAGCTGAGACCTCCCTGGCAGGATTGCCCTGGCAATGGATGCTCAGCCCAAAGGAAGTGCCCAGCATCACCTTCCCTGCCAGCCTTCCCACAGGGAATTACTCTCCACCCCCTTCCACAAGCTCAATTGCCTTAAAGCAGCCTGAAACCAGGAACTAATTTTTAAGGGACTAAAAGGACCTGCCCTTTCCTAAGGGAAAAACACCTCCCTTTCCCCTCCCAGCCAGGGAACCGCTGGATGCAGCACCAGCATCACCGCTCTCCGGTCACATCCCTTAAAGAGGCTAAAGAGCCAAGATTCCCATTCCACTTGTCCTGCCTGACTGCAGGGTGACCTGGACACAGGGATTTATTTTCCCACCACCACAAAAGCATTTCTGAAGTGGTTTTAAAGCCTATTTTTGAAGACATGAGCACCACAACTGCAGAGACCACGATTCAAGCCTCTGATGGAGCAACACAGATGCTCCGGGCCCCAGTTTCCCAAACCCTCCAGGGCATGGATCCCTCCCCATTACCTAAAGGATGCATCTCCACTTGGGGATTCCCATCACAGCCAGGCAGCAGGAAAACCAGCTTCCCTCGGGATGTCTGCAAGGCCAGGGTTTAAAAGAGGTCGACACACGGAGATCAAGCCGGGATGGAACGGTCCCCAGCGCAGAGAGAGGGTTAAACACTCACCCTTCCCAAATCCCTGCTCCAGGGCCCTGCATTCCTCTGCTCAGACTGACTGCAGGGCTTTTTTTTTGCTCACTCTTTCCATGCCTGGTCATGTCCTGCATCCTGGATTTGGGGGATGTTTTACAGCTCCTGTGAATAGGCAGAGCAGGAGCTGGAGAGGCACCAGCTGCTCTGGCACCTCAGGGATGTCCCATGGCGGGGCAAGGGACGCAATCATGGAATGGTTTGGAAGGACCTTAAAGACCTAAAGAGCTCTTTCCACCCCCGTGCCATGGGCAGGACACCTTCCACTAGCCCAGGCTGCTCCAAGCCCCATCCAACCTAGCCTTGTACACTTCCAGGGATGGGGCAGCCACAACTTCTCTGGGTAACCTGTGCCAGGGCCTCCCCACCCTCCCAGGGAAGGATTTCTCCCCAGTATCCAGCCTAACCCTTCCCTCTGCCAGTGGGAAGTCATTCCCCCTCGTCCTACCACTCCATGCCCTTGTAAAACACCTCCCTTTGCAGGTCCAAGAGCAGGGATACTCTGGAGGCCAGACCATCCCCTGGGGCCTGGGCTGAGTGATGTGTCCTGCCCAGCCCTGGTCCCTGGGGCGGAGCTGCGACCTTGTTCCACGGCTCCCGTCAGGCGCTGCCAGACCCAGATGGGCCGTCTGGCTAATTGAGTTAATTAAAGCATTTTTCAGCAGTGATTAACTTTCAGGAGCGCTGCTCCAGCTCTCTCCGGGGAGCAGGGGCCACAGAGCAGTAGGAGAGCCGGGAAAAATGACTTGGAAGCACTTCCCAATTTCTCAGCAGCGTTTGCTGACTCAGAGCAAGTCGCAATCAAAAAATCCCCAAACCCCAGAACTTCGTCTGTTTTACAGGACCGAATGTGTGTGGAGAAGACCCAGGCAGTGGATGGATGCGTGGGAGGAGACCTACCAGGCTGATGGCCCAATCCCAGAGCATCCTTCCCAGGCAGAAGTGATGAGCTCTGGAAGTCCGGCGGCGCTGCCCGGCACCCTTGGGATGATAAGCTGGTCAAGGCCAGTGCTGGCTCTGTTCTGCTGACGAGGTAATTGCCCTCTCCCAGGGACAGTAAACACTTTGTGTCCAGAGATAACTATGGAAAACACTTCCAAAGACCCAGAAAAAGGCTTGTTTTGTGGCCTCGCTCCCCAACAAAGACGTTGGCTGTTGGAAAGGAGGTGCATCCCAGGAAGCTGGTATCAAAGAAAAAGGAACAAACCACCCCAAAAATAACCCACCCTGTCACTGGAGACTCTGTCTTCTTCCCCTTTCCAAAAAAAACCCCTACTTGTCCTTCTCTGCCCAGTCAAACACGGGATGAATCCCCACAGAGGTTCCACTTGTGGGGAGGCTGCTCCAATAAAGCTGCAGCCAGCAGTATCCATAGGTATGGAGCGGCCAAAAAAAACTTTGGGATGCACCCCCCATCTCCTCCTCCTTTTCTGGGATGCACCCCCCATCTCCTCCTCCTTTTCTGGGATGCACCCCCCATCTCCTCCTCCTTTTTGATGGGATGTACTCACACATTTCCTCCTTTTGAGGGATGCACCCATCCATCCTTTTTTTTGCTGCATGCACTCGTGCACCTCCTCTTTTTTCTGGGATGCACCCCCCCAACTCCTCCTCCTTTTTGCAGGATGCACTCCCTATCTCCTCCTTTTGCAGGATGCACTCCCCATGTCTTTCTTTTTCTGGGATGCACTCTCATCTCCTCCTCCTTTTTTTGCAGGATACACCCAGGCATCTCCTCCTTTTGTGGGATGAACCCACAAATGTCCTCCTCCTTTTCCAAGATGCACTCACGCATCTCCTCTTTTTTTTTTCCTACCTCCAAAACCTTATCCATTGCAAGGACCAGTTGCTCCCAGGCCACGTGCACTGGGAATTATTCCTTAGGGCCTCCAACAGCTCAGTCTGACCCCAAGGCTCAGCCACACACCCCAAAAGCCCCACTAACGCTGGTTTTTCTGAGCAAGGGGGGATTTAAGCGCGGAGGGACTTGGGAGAGAGCAAGGAGCAAGCAATTCCCAAGGCTGGCTTTCCAGGCAGGCTGCCGGCTGGGAAACGCTTCCCAGAGCAACCCCACCCCGGGAGAGCTAATCTGATGGCAGGTTTTCAATGCAGCAGCCAGGATGCAGGAGGGGCTGGAGCGGGAGGGAGGCTGCAGAGGGGGGAAAGAAAGCAAGGAAATGCCACAGAGGTGAGGAGGCTTTTTCTGGCCGGGCCACGGCTTGTTTTGTTTCCCTGCCTCCAGCTCGCTGCCATTTTCCAGGAAGCTGGAGCAGCTACAAAAAACTGAGGAGTTTGTTTAATTATAGCTGTGGTGGCGTTTGTGCCGAGGGACCCGGCGCCGCTCTGGGAACGGATGGGAGCGAAGCCCACGGCACAGCAGCAGGAATAACGCAAGAATTCCAGACTTTACAGCTCCCACAGTGACGCAACCCGAGCTCAAACATTGGTTTTACTCCCAAAGGCTTGGGAGACTTTAGACTGAACTCCCTGTGTGACCAAATTCCTGCTCCTTTTGCTCCCTTCCTCCTCCTGGTGGAGGTGTCTCCTGGATGGACAACGCGAGCACCTCCCACCGCGCCCAGTGAACTGATGGATGCTCCAGTCAAGAACCCACCCATGGACTCATTCCAAATTCACAGGATAATTTAGGTTGGAAAAGCCCTTTAAGATCACTGATTCCAGCAGCAGTGACCATCAAACGCCTCCTGCCTTGCTCTCCTCCACTGACCCAGCCGGTGACGCCCCATTGTCCAGCTCCAAAGAGCCTTTTCTCCCTGTTCCTAAGGAAACAGGCAGCGTTGTTCAAACAAGGCCACACACCAGGCAAACCCCTCCCCCTAAATACAACCTAAAGCACTTTATACAGATGACCTAAAGCACTTCATCCAGGCACAACAGGAGAAGGCAGCTGCTGGATTTATCCCCAGAGAGAGGGAAGCAACAGCTTTGCCCGGAGCTCCTTTGGAGCACGGGATGAGCAACCCACCCCCACGACTCCACACTACAGCCACGATGCTCTGCTGGGTCAAAGGTTTCTGGAGTCAGCTAGAAAACATCTGGTTTTGCTTCATGGCACTGATTTCCCTCTTGAAAATGATGGGATGGTCCCCAGGGCAACCCTCCCATGGGGCAGGAGAGGGGGCAGAGGGAGCAACTTCAGAGGACACAGAGCACTGGGAAAAGGAAAGGCTTTCACATTATTATTACTGTTATTATTGTTATTATTATGTACAGCTTTCCCCATCATCTACCAGGGCTGCAAAACAGATGTGCATCAGCATCCCTTCAATTTACATCAAAGCACCCAGATGAGGAAGAATCAGAGAATCCCAGACTGGTTTGGTTTGGAAGGACCTTAAAGCCCATCCCATCCCATCCCATCCCACCCCCTGCCATGGGCAGGGACACCTTCCACTAGCCCAGGTTGCTCCATCCTGGCCTTGGACACTTCCAGGGATGGGGCAGCCACAGCTTCTCTGGGCAACCTGTGCCAGGGCCTCCTCAGCCTTCCCAGGGGAGGCACTGGCACAGGTTTTCCAGAGAAGCTGTGGCTGCCCCATCCCTGGAAGTATCCAAGGCCAGGTTGGACGGGGCTTGGAGCAGCCTGGGCTAGTGGAAGGTGTCCCTGCCCATGGCAGGGGGTGGGATGGGATGGGCTTTAAGGTCCTTCCAACCCAAACCAGTCTGGGATTCTCTGATGATCTTGTCAAGAGGATATGGGATGTACCACCTTCTCACTGCTGAATCTGGAGCAACCTCTCTCCTGGCAGAGTGGGAACACTCACTCCCATAGGAACAGCCAGGAATATTTAGCCCCAGGAGTTGCAATTGGTTTTGTTCCCTGGGTAATGAGAGCTGCCCCCAGCAGTTGATATGCCAGCTTGGAACGACGGCCTCCTGGCACAAAAATAAACCCTGGGACAAACCGACATGGAATCACCGGGTCAAAACCAGAAATATCTCCTGGGGTGGGGGGGAACTGGTCAAGGGGTTCCTAACAGAGAAGCAGCAGGTTGGCTACAAAAAACTGGGATTAAAGACAGTACCTGGTGTTTGTGGGACGAGTGATTCCTTCCAAAAACACGCAACCCACCCAAAATGCCAACTTTGTCAACATAGGAAAAATAAAGTGAATCCAAGGACAGGATGAAAGAGTCAAAAGTTTTCTGGTCAGCTCTTTGATCCATGAAAAACTGACTTTACCCTGGGCACACCTGGACCTGCAGCCCCCCCCAGGCAGCAAAGGGATTTCACGTGCTGCTTCATTTCCATGTTGCTGTGAGACATCCACACACATCCCTTTCCATCCTCCCACGCTTTCCTTTACGAGCCCACGGGAACAGAAATCCACAGAAATCACTACAGAAATCCACGGAAATCACTCCAACCCCAAGGAGCACGGGAGAAATTAAGGACCCCAGGCTGCAAGGAGGACCACGGCAGGGGGTTGATGCCACAGGTATCCTCAAAAATGCTCCTTCAGCGTGGATAGCTGTGGTGTTAATGGAACTGGGACATCACTCGAGCACTAAAAACCAGCTCTGAGGTGCTAGGAGCGAGTCTCTCCACTTTGTTGGGGAAGTCAAGGAAAGGGACTTGTCAGGACATGCATGTGCCCACTGCAGGACCTGCTCCCATCAGCAGGTCCTGCAAGTGCTTTATGCTTTTTCCTTCCTAAAAAACAAACGTTATTTATGGCCACAAAGGGAGCTCAGCCTGCGGGTCGCAGTTTGGAGTCTAACAAACCTGCAGCCGCACAATGAAGCAGCAAAGCTGTCCTGGGTGTCTCCAAACCACCCTGCAGCTCCTTTAGGGAGAGGAATCAATCCCATCACCTCCCCCAGGAGCAACCTCCCCCGCTGCTCCTCATGGTTCTTCCTGCCCCTCCAGCCTTTGCTTCCAAGTCACGTCCGCGGCGGGCGGCGGGTTTCCCCGTGCCAGCGCTGAGGGATCCACGTGCTCCTTGCCCCAGCCAAGGCTGGCACGGTGCTTCCAACGTCCCCAAACAATGCCAGCCCTGTGCCCAGACACTGGCAGGGTTAATGCGGGGATTGTTTGCAAGAAGGGAGCAAAAGCAGAGCATCCTCCACTCGCTCCGACGGCACCGCTCAGGCCCCGCCGGGAACCACGGGGGACACATTTTGTGCTTTTTAACCTGAAATCTCGCCCTGCAAATTTTAGGGAGCAGATTGGATGGGTCCTCAGCTGGGGCTGACAGTGGAGACGCCTCCTGTATCCCTGTGGGATACAGGGACGTTGTCTAGACGTTGTCTAGAGGGAAGGGCTCTCAATAAACATTGCTCTCAATAAACATTGCTCTCAATAAACACATTGCTCTTAATAAACACCTTGTTGCAGCCATCAGAGATGGGTTGGAAGGTATCTTAAAGCTCATCTCATTCCACCCCCTGCCACAGGTTCCACACCTTCCACTAGCCCAGGCTGCTCCACCAACCTGGCCTTGGACACTCCCAGGGATGGGGCAGCCACAGCTTCTCTGGGCAACCTGTGCCAGGGCCTCCCCACCCTCACAGCCAACAACTCCTTCCCATCTAACCCTGCCCTCTGGCACTGGGAAGCCATTCCCCATTGTCCTGTCCCTCCATCCCTTGTCCCCAGTTCCTCTCCAGCTCTCCTGGAGCCCCTTTAGGCCCTGCAAGGGGCTCTCAGGTCTCCCTGGAGCCTTCTCTTCTCCAGCTGAACACTCCCAGCTCTCCCAACCTGGTTCCAGAGCAGAGGGGCTCCTATTAATATATCCCAGTTAAAAAGCATAAATACATTTTCCAGTGGGTTGATCCCCCTGTTTCAAACCTGACTCGTCACTGGTCACTCAGGGAACTCAACATTTGGTTACAAAACTTTCCTGGGAGCTGCCATCCCCAGCAAAGGGGCAGCTCCGATCTCTGCTCTGTGTGAGCAGGGACAGGACCCAGGGAATGGCCTGGAGTTGTGGCAGGGGAGGGTCAGGCTGGATCTCAGGGAAAGGTTCTTCCCCCAGAGGGTGGTTGGGCACTGATCAGGCTCCCCAGGGCAGCGGTGTCAGAGCTAAAGGAGTGTTTGGACAACACCCTCAGGGACAGAGTGGGATTGTTGGGGTGTCCTGGGCAGGGCCAGGAGTTGGACTCGATGGTCCTGGTGGGGCCCTGCCAACTCAAGGAGATTCTGTGACTCCATGAAAACCCATCCCATGTCCTTACCACGTCCTGGGAAGCCTCCTGGGCAGCCTGCAAAGCTCAGGTGTTTTCCGGATGAATTTTGGGAAGGAGACAAAAGTCAGGTGCCAAACCTAAGGCTGAGGGACTCCCAGTTGAGATGATTTGCATTCATCCCATTCCAGCTGCCATCAGAAATCCACCCACTGAGCCAGGAGGTGACATGACCTTCAGACCACTTGAAAACAAGAAGACTGAGGAGGATGCAAATTCCCCTCCACGTCCTGACCTCTCCTCCAGCTGCCACCTCCCTTCCCAGCCCCGGCAACGAAAAAGCTCCTTGCTGGATTTAAATGTTTTTCCCATTAAAAAAAAAAAAAAAAAAAAAACAACAAAACAACAAACCCACACACAGTGCCTAAACCACCTCCTTAGCATCCACACAGGCTCTTCTGAACAGCCCCACCAGGCTAAAATAAATATTTTAGCTTCTCAAAGAGTTTTCCTCTCATTAAAATGAAAACATAATTAGGATGTCAAGCAGCGGCTGCAATCACTCGGCGCTGCTCCGGCTTCGCTTGATTAAGAGCAACGAAGCTGCTATTTTTGAAAAGGACACTCCCTTCCACGGCCTGACCGGGGTTATTTTGGAAAGATATATATATATATATATATGGAAAGCTGGAATCTTTGCTGGCAAAAAAATCCCCACCCCGGAGGGGACATGGAGAGGCTGCGGGATCAAGAAGCACAGTGGGAATCCTCTTGGGAGTGCCCAAGGGGGGAAGAGCACGGAGACCCTGGAAAGGGTGAGGGAATCATAGAATCATGGATGGTTTGGGATGGAAAGGACCTTAAAGCTCGTCTCGTGCCATAGGCAGGGACACCTCCCACTAGCCCAGCTTGGACACTTCCAGGGATGGGGCAGCCACAGCTTCTCTGGGTAACCTGCTCCAGAGAAAAGGAGAAAAGAGGGAAAAAGCAGAAAAGGAGAGAAAAGCTGCTCCCAGAGACACTGCATGAGGGCACCTATGCGGGGTCTGGTACCGACACTGCTGCACGGGAGCAAGAGCCAGGAGGAGATGCAAACATTCCCAGGATCCCAGAGTTCTTTAGGTTGGAAAAGCCCTCTAAGGTCATCAAGTCCAAGCATTAACCCAACTGCCAAGCCCAACACTAAGCCCTGTCAGAGCTACAAGCCATCCCAGGAAGATGCTATTCTCAAGGATTTTTTTTTAAGGACATGTAAGCATCCCATTGCTGCAGTTATGCCTAAAGAAATCAAGGATAAATCCTTATTCCAGACATTTCAGCATCTAGACACAGGTGTCAACACCACACCCCCCCTCAAATCCAACTCCCGCCCAAGCTGCTGCTCTGCTCAGCATAACTTCATTATTAAGTTGTATTTTATATATATTAATTAACAGCCATAACTTAATTAATGCAAATCTCAGGGAGCGTTAGCCAGGAAGGACAGGCTGGGGGGGGGCAGTGGTGGGCATTCCCAACGCTTCCTCAGCACTTCCCCGCCAGAGCACAGGAATTTCCATGCACCTGATCCCACATCCCATGAATCCTCTGGATTTGGGGCTTCGAGGCCACGTGGTTTAACGAGGGTAGAGACACAAAACCATGCCCTGGTCACCACCGTCCCCTCCGTACCGAAGTCACTCCGAGCGTGAGCTATTCCTTAACAGCCAGGGATCCCAAAACACCCAAATGGGTATCCCAGCACCTGAGCCCGAGGCTGCAGCACATTCCTGCCTCCCTATAACACACTTGCACGACTCCACCTCTCCCACTGACCACTACCCCGAGCCAAACCCTGCGCGGCATCCTTTGCTCCCAAAACGTCCCCCCTGGCATCATCAAGGAGCAAAGAGGTCGGTGACCTGTGACATCAGTGAGCCCCAGCTGGGAAAATCCTCCTGGAAAATAAATGCTGGGCACAGCTGGTGGAATGCTGTTCAAAACAACCCCAAACTGCCCAGGAACATCCCACCGTGGCCGATAGGAAGCACCGGGAAGC